ATTTGACCCAGCAATCCCACTACTGGGTATATACTGAAAGGATTATAAATTGTTCCATTATACAGACACAGGCACACATATGTTCACTACAGCATTGTTTACAATAGCAAACACCTGGAACCAACCCAAATTCCCATCAATGATAGACTGAATAAAGAAAATATGGCACATATACACCATGGAATACTATGCAGCCATAAAAAAGGATGAGTTCATCCCTTGCAGGGACATTGATGAAGCTGGAAACCATCATTCTCAGCAAACTGACACAAGAACAGAAAACCAAATACCACATGTTCTCACTCATAAATGGGTGTTGAACAATGAGAGCACATGGACACAGGGAAGGGGTGTAACATCACACACCGGGGCCTGTAATGGGGTGGGGATCTAGGGGAGGGATAAGAGAGGATGGGGGGATTGGGGAGGGCTAATATTAGGATAAATAATTAATGTAGATGACAGGGGAATGGATGCAGCAAACCATCATGTATATACCTATGTAACAATCCTGCAGGATCTGCACATGTACCCCAGTACTTAAAGTATAGTATATAAAAAAAGAATACATAATGTTGCATTCAATTGTACTAACATTTCCTGTTAAAAGATGATTCCTGAAAAGTCAATAAATATTTGTGTTAATACAACTTGCAGATAATATGTTCAATGCATGTTTTTAAATTTGTACTTAAGAAATGCATTGGTTTAAGTAACTACTAACACTTTGGGAATATAGATTTTCAAAATGCATCAGAAATATGTAAAAATTATACATGAAATTATCAGTTAGACATTATGTCATTTTAATAATCAAGTAATTTTCATCAAAAAATATACAGAATTTTAAATAAGGAAATAATAGCCAAAAATATACAGTATATCCACTTGAAGACACATCCTGCAAATTTATTTATGTAAAATTTTGTCATCACTGATGATATGTTTTCAGCAACATGGAAACTGTTATGTTTTCAAAAATAAGTGAATCATCAAACATATTAAGATGTTTATTTTTAACTTGATTGATTTATATTTCACCCTAAATTATAATGGATCTTAACGTTTCTTCTTCCCATTTAATCACTGTAGTCATAAATTTTAAAAGCTGAGGTTGCTATGTGAAAATTAAGTTTTCCATGTTTTGACTGAACCTCAAAGACAAAGACTGACAATATGTTGAATGAATGAGTCAGGCCTATATATAAAAAGACCATTTGAAATGAAATGGAGTCAGTATCCAATTATCTAATCAATGCAAATTATTTAGGCAATAACTTTTCTCTTGATTCTTTTTCCATTCCTCATACTTTCGGTTTTAGTTCTCTCAGTGATGTCCATATAAATGCTCTGCTGTCCACTTCTGTTTGCTGAGACTGTTTCACGTATGAAGGCATTTATTTCATTTGTTTAGTTTAAGTGTTACGGTCTGTATCAGTTAGATAGCTTTTGGTTGCAAGTAAGTAAAAACCAAACATAAATAGCTGAAACAAAGGAGGAAGGTATGGATTCATATATATGAAAAGTTCAATAAATTTGGCTTAAGACAAGGCTGTATTTAGGGGTCAAATAATGTAGATAAGTTTTTTTTTCTCTCTATCTTTCCCCACACCTTCTCTCTATCTCTATTTCTAGCTTTCTCCTTTACTCACCTGACTCCTCCTATGCTGACTTTATTCAGGTAGGATGTATTCCCCCGCTCTCAAGATGGCTAGAGAAAGATCCCATGGTTTTTTGTTCACCTCTAATGATGATGAAGTAAGTCATTGCTTAAAATTTATAAACTGAGTCTTGGTCGTGTTTAGCCAGACTTGTATCATTCTTGAACTACACTTGCTTCTCAGCATCCGTTTGTCACTTTCCTTTTTTGAACTGTTGCCAATATTTCCCATCAGTATTTTATGAGTAGCTTTGACAATATCCTAGAAACAGATTCTGGTTGACTCAAGCCTATTGACAGACTCCATTAACTATTTTATGATGATTCGTTCAAGGATATAACCCAGTCTGGAAAAACAGGACCAAGACTCAGTTTATGAAATTTGAACAATTACTCACTTTAGCACTAGAGTTATTAAATGTAGTCCTTGATTTTGTATTAGAAAAATTCTATTACATTTTTTCTGGATTTTAGAGATTTTTGATTTAGTGTAGATAAAGGGTTAAATAGGTAGGATAAATAATTAGTGGATTCACACACATATTCTTAATGTGCCCATTCCAGGCTTGTTGAGTAAAGATTTTCCAACACTAAAGATCAGGATTATACTTAGAAAATTCAACAATACGTTATAATTACAATATGCTTTAAATTATTTATTTAATCCTTAAACAATAAGCATTGCTATTATTGCTTAAAATTAGAGTACCTCCTTCAGTCTCCTTTTCATGTCCCATCCTGATATACATCACTGTGAATAACTAATGGGTTTTATAATATCTATAAGGAAACTTAATTATCTCAGATAAATTATGAGCATTATTGTCCAAAACATTAGTGTAAAGAGTTATAATCCTACATTAGTTGTTGGTTTAATTAAATTTAGTTTAATGTAGGATTATACATCAATATGGAATTATATATTTAGATTTTCCAAATATTAATTGAGCAGATTCAGTATTTAGAAAATCGAAATGTATATTCTGACTCTTAAAAAATAAGGAACTCATTATAACATTAAATGTCTTCTCAATGATTTAAATATATTTTTGAATTTTCTAAAAATAAAACAATTTTCTAAAAACATAACAATATCCATGAGAAAAATTTCGTATGTCATAATCCCTTAGAAAGCAGGCCTATCTTTCTTGCTTTCACATGTCATAATCCCTTAGAAAGTAGGTCTATCTTTCTTGTTTTAACACTGGTGTATATTTCAACTTTTCTTATAGGCTTCATGCCTGTTGTTAATTTACTATGGTAATACAGCTGGAGAGTGTCATCTTGCTTTGCTAAGACATGATTCTTCACATTAAGAAGAAGATTAATGTAGTTAGGTCAGGCGCAGTGGCTCATTCATGTAATCCCAGCACTTTGGGAGGCTGAAGCAGGAGGATTGCTTGAGCCCCGGAGTTTGAGACTAGCTCTGGCAACGTAGTGAGATCCTGTCTCTAAAATAACATTTAAAAGTTAGCTGCATGTAGTGTGATGTGCCTGTAGTCCTAGCTACTCAGGAGGCTGAAGCAAGAGGATCACTTGAGCCCAGGAGGTCGAGGCTGCAGTAACCATGTACTACAGCCTGAGCAATAGAGTAAGACCTGTCTCAAAAGTTTATTTTAAAAAAGTAGTTATTTGATAACAAAGATACTTCTTAATATTTATGTAACATTTTACTGTTTACAAGAAAATTAATCCAGGTAGAGTGGCTCATACTAGAACCTTAGGAGGCTGAGGCAGGAGGATCACTTGATCCAGGGAGCTCAAGACCAGCAGGGCAACTTAGTTAGATCCTGTGACTACCAAAATATATACTTTTTAAATTAGTCTAATGTGGTGGCACACACCTGTAGTCCTAACTACTTGGGAGGTTGAGGTGGGAGGATCATTTCAGCCTAGGAGTTTGAGGCTGCAGTGAGCTAGTTGTACTCTAGCCCTGATTAAGCCACTTCTACTCGAGTAGGATTACAGAACAAGACCCTGTCTTTAAAAAAAATGAACATAACATTTAACACAAAAAATAAACAAAAGAATTGATACATGTATCATAACTGAGTTCTCACAACCACTTCAGATGATAAAGGCGCAGCTGTCTTTTGTGGGTGCAGGCATACAGCTTTCCAGTGGGAGGCGACACAGGCGAGGGCATGCAGTCAGCATGGGGACTGTCCGTTCCTTGAGGACAGGACCGTGTCTGGAGTGTATTAGGGAGCTCTGAATATGTATTGAATTAATTAATTATGTAGATCTGGGCTTAACTATGGTCTTTTACAAGTCCAGTACTTCTTACAACTAAATTATTAATTTGGTGGTGTTTACGTATTTTAACAAATGGAGCCCATCATCAACTTGTTGGGCTCAGAACAAATGGCAGAAGAAAAGCAAAACAAAACAAAAAGCTCCTGGAGAGCTTCTTCATTCCTGCTTTGAGAACATTGACTTATTACTGTTTTCTATTTTTCCCACCTTGTTTAATTGGTAATCAGTTTAGGAGGCTCTCAGTCTACAGGATTTTGAAAAGCATATGTCCCTAACAGAGAAATCATTAATGTATTAAGATTTTTTTTTTTTTTACAGATTCATTCAACATGTTTTCTTTTTTGTATGCTTTTCTTGAAAAGAGCAAAACAGTTTAGATAAAACATGACTATTGAGCCTGGAGGACACAGAAAACAGAGCCCACGAGTTGTAGTTCCCAGCAAATACATACAAATTTAACAAATTGCAAAGAGAGCCTTTTCTTTAGAACTCTACTACTGAGGCTGGAGGCAGGAATAAGAGGCAGGCCATGGCTTTCATCCCACCACAGGTAGCCTAACTACTTCAGTTTTCTCCTACACGGTCCAACAAGGCCTGACAAACTGCACTGCTGGTGTACAAGGAGCATCTCTCGGGCGATGATGCGTATAGACAGAGGGATTTTTTTAGTCAATTGCAGGAATTAGGCTTTAATGCTTTATACTAAAAGACTTCATACCCCAGATAGCTGCCTGCTATCCACTGAATCTTGGCAGGCAATCAGACTGCTGAAGCTGAAACTGGGAAGCTATGTTAAGCAGATTTTCATGAATGTACAAAATGCTTTATTTATAAAGCTACGTTTCTTTGTAGCAGTTCCAAACGGTTTCTTTTTCTAATCTCTCATTTTGGTCAACACTCAGTCTTTATAAAAATTACTTCCCAAACATGCTGCTAAAGAGCCACAGAAGAAAATAATGCTTACTTCGTCAAAAGTTGGTGTTTTTGAAAAGAATAATCCTACATATGCCAGTTTAGGAGATTAAAAATGATCATGGTCTTTACAAAAACTATACAATACAGAGAAAGACATTAAGTACTTTACCATTATTTGGAAGCTGTAGAGGGCTACAGACATCATTTTTGGTTCTAGCTTTTGGTGAAGAGATCAGTTTTGCAACCAGGGAGGCAGAGATGGGCTGCACTAACAGGGAGGTGAGGTTTGATTGGCTTTGTCTAAAACTTCCATCTGTATTCAAAAGAAAAAGGAAGAGACCCTTAGTAAACAGAAATTTAAAACACTGTGGAAAAAGTTCTCTGTAATAAGTATTTAAATTATGACTGATAAATTTATATTTATGCATTTGTTTATTCACTCCTTAATTATACCCTGCTTACTTATTAAAATGATTTGAGACACTTAATAAAAATTAAGTCCAAATACAATGACAGATCCCAGCTAAAGATGGCAGATTGCGCATATGCCCTTATCTCCATTGTCCCATAAAAATCCACTGAAATGACAACAAAAGAATGAAAAAGCTTAAATGCACAGGGGCCAGGAGAACAGACAGTAATAAGATCCTAGCTGGAAAGCAGGTGTCAGTGATGTAAGACCTGAGGGGGAACCTAAAACCTAAGTTCTTAGTAGGGAAGCTGAGAATGCCATTTGTAACACTGAACCAAGGAAGGCTTAGAAATTGTCAACACCGGCTACCTAATAGAGTAGGGCTATAAGAGAGAATGGAAGCAGGAGGGTTTGATGAAATTCTGACTGTGAAATGGCTTGTACTCTGGAATCCTCACACACCCAGTCAATGTGGATGACTGTTCCTTCCTTACTTCAACAGAAAACTGAGAGTGAAACGCTGAACAGGGAGATACCAAATACAGTGAAGAACATCACCCTTAAAAGAGGATGATGTTGGCCGGCAAGGTGGCTCATGCCTGTAATCCCAGCACTTTGGGAGGCCGAGATGGGTGGATCACTTGAGGTCAGGAGTTCGAGACCAGCCTGGCCAACAAAGTGAAACCTGTCTCTACTAAAAATACAAAAAATTAGCCGGGTTTAGTGGTGCACACCTGCAATCTCAGCTACTTGGGAGGCTGAGGCAGGAGAATAGCTAGAACCCGGGGGCAGACGTTGCAGTGAGCCAAGACCGTGCCACTGCACTCCAGTCTGGGTAACAGAGCAAGACAATAAATCCCAATCATATAGAGAACTTTGAATCAACTTCATTTTGTTATTCTTAAGTAAGAGATCCCAGCCAATGGCAATCCTAGACTGGCCCATGGACAGCAGACCTAGTGAGGATGACAGCAGGTGGTCAACAGGTCTGGGGAGGGAGGTCTCTAGGAAGACCAAATCAATGAGAATACCAGGTATGTTGTAACATGTTGAGAGAATGTTTACAGTAAGATCAGAGTGTTAGGTTTGAAGAGTGTCCAGCTATAGAGAAAAATAAGAAAGCTATAAGGGGAGACAACTATTAGCTTAAAGGGACCAAAAGTTGTGCAAGAAAAAAATTTAATCATTCAGCAATAATATTTACATAGTCATAATAATATAAATAATGACTGTTGACTTAACACAAAATGATCCCTTTTGGGAAAAAAAGAGAAAAGGGGAAAAGTCAGGCAGTGATGTACATGAAGAATTGTGAAAGTGAAGGCTTTATCTCTCAGAGTGGTAAGTCAACACAATGGAGGATATTGAAAAACAAACATACACATAACTGAGAGAAAGGAAGGTAAATATAAAAGGTAAGTAGCTACTAAAGATGTTAAAAACAGCTACATATTTGTCCTGGGGAGTTAAAGAGAGGAGAGAAGACGCACAGGGGAGAGACGGAAAGGTGACATTTTTATGAATTAAGCCTGTAGAAATATTTGACTATTTAAATGAACTAAATGCACCAATAGCTTCAAAAAATAAAAATTAAATAAAAATAAGAGAAAACAGTTATAACAGAAGTACAAAGATTACATGAATAGAATAGAGATAAGGGAGAGAAGAAACTATGCTTAAGGAAATAACTAATACTTACTCAGTTTCTATATTTTTGCTGACACAGAAAAGGAAATACATAACCAAATGACTCTATCAGGAAGCAAGTGATGTTTCCAAATGTAGTGCTGTATTTTTGAGAACTTTTATCAGGGAAGATAATTGCTAACAGTTTTTCTCAGAATTTAATTTGATGGGACTTCAGAGGGTGCAGAGCTCAATGATGCTGGTATCCAGGCTACAGGAGGAGGTAGATTATAAACAATAAAATGTGTTACAGAAGTGTTTCCTTAATTTATCGTCCAGAAGATCAAAAGGCTAAAATATTATATTTAGCCTAGGCCTGTGGCAGCCATGGAAGTCATGACTTTGAAGACAAAATAATAAAGATTTCAGCTTAGAATATATTTTGTTGTATAAGAGCAGTGTTGTTCTCATAATTTCATTGTCCCTTATATAGCTATATACGATAGTGCATTCTGACCACAGTGTAGGTCATTATTTCCCAACAGTTTTCATATTCATGGAACCACAAGTGGCTATATAATTTGCAGGACCCACAGTGAAATGACAATGTGGGACCTCTTGTTCAGAAAGTATAAAGAAGTTCAGTATGACAACAGCAGAGCATTAAATCAAGTGTGGGGCCCTTCAGAGAAGGGACTCTGTGAGACTGCGCAGGTGGCATGCCCAGGAACCAGGTCCTGCCCCATTTATGTAGAAGGTGCTAGTAGTTGTACAGCCTGTTGAGGTAAACTGAAGGGGATTTTCAGACCACAGGAGGCTGCTCTCAGCCAAAAATGATGAGCTTCAAGACCACCACTCCAGGCTGTACTTGAAGATAAACTGATTCATGTTTCAAAGTATAGGCAATGTCTGGTCCAACTAGCTAGAAAACTCTGGCATAGGCATCTGATTTTCCCAGTATGTACTTTCTCTCTCAGCCATTACCTTTGGAGCTTTTAATGTGCATGAGATAATGAAATAATACTGATGTGCAATGTGCAGTCTACTATTTTGAAGTTTTCATGAATGTGGAAACTTCTTAAGATGCTGTATAATTTCACCTCTCTCCAATTCAAATACCAAACTCTTCAGCTTGCCATTCAAGGCCCTTCACAATCTCAAACCTTATATTTCAACATTATTTCCTACTGGTTTTCTTCATACATTTTAAGCAAAGACTTAAGCTATATGCATACATACTCCATGAGCTACATCCCCATGTGCTTGCTTAAGCCATTGCTTCTACTTCATTTGATCTTCTCATACATCACACACGTCCAAAGCACTCGGTTCCTTCAAAGCCAAACTTACAAGTCATCTTCTATGTGAAGCTTTCTCTGGCACCCTCAGCTCTGTGTGATATATCTGCACCTATTTCGCAATGCTTGCTACTTTCAGTTAACATTATCACTATGTAAAATCACTTTGTTTATTCCTTCTGAACTATAACTTTTTGAAAGCAAGGACCAAGTCATCTACATCTACACAATGCCTAGCACATTGTCAGGTACATAACAGGCTTTCAATAATTAATGATAGAAAAAAGAATCAACAATTGTTTGACAAATAATCTTAATGCCTATATCTTAATGATTTTCTGAGTCCTTACAAAGTAGAGCAGGGGTACAGTTGAATAATAAATTATAATTCTATGCTTGCTATATAATTATGATTTCTCCCTAGCTAACTAATACTCTTTCCCAGCAGATATATTAAAAAACTTTCAAATCCCATCTACCCCTATCAATTCACTGATTATTCTTGCCCTAAAATTAACTTTTGTAGATAAAAAGTCTTGAAATAAATAAAATCATATTTAAGATATATTTGTTAATAAAAAAATCAATACCTGCATTCCATTTCTCTCTAGAATGCTCTATTAAGCTTACGAAGCAATGCATTTAAATGTTAAGTATAAGTGAACCCTAAACTATAATTGAATACACCCAAATCTTTGATTTTTTTGTGCTGCATGACTAATAGACTTGCATTAGTTTTGAAATATCTAAAGTAAGTGGCTCATTAATTTTTTACCTTCAGCCTAATGGAAATTTGACAAAGAGTTCTCTTCTGAGAATAGATACTAAAAGCAGGACTTTACAGGACACCACGATTAAATTATAGACAGAAGTTGTTTAAAAAAAAAAACCCTGTTTACTGAAGAAGAGCTGAGAGAAGAGTTTTGTTTTCTTACATTATTAAGACGTTTTTGAATAAAGATAAACACGTGCTATTTTTATTCGTAATATTTTAAAGCATATCTTTGAACTATAAGAATCCATTAGATATGAGATGAAAATTGAGTGGATTATGTGCCTTGATAGAAAGGGTACTGACCGAACAGAAAAGACTGTGACATCACATTTTAGCATTTTAACTTTTAGACTTCAGTATTTATATCATACTCTGTATATTGTTTATGCTTCATAAAGACTGAGGAGTACCAACTTTTATTTCAGTAGATAGCTAATTCTCTGTTCATGTTATACACTCATTGTAATCCAGATAAAGATTCAAACTGATCCATTACATCAATAATTCAATCCCTGATTCAATGGTACATGTGCATAGTATAATGAGGAAATTGGATAAACAAAGTCCCAAGTCTGACTCCATCATTGATTTACTGTTTGAAATGTTACAAATAAATAATTTCACTGTGATACTACTGTCCTCTCATCTACAATTCCTGAATTACCAAGATGACACCAAAGTGTCTTCATTATGCTGACTTGCTGAAATAAAAATAATATATTAGTTCAGAGACCTAGAGCCAAAGTTACAGAGGGTGAAATTCAGAAGAAATCAGCATTAAAATAAGTAAGATGTGTTCTAATTGTACATCCTTAATTCTACATCATGCTTTTCCAAACTACTGTTGCCCACTTCAATCTCATCTCCTTGGCTGTGTAAAGAAAACACACTCTGTTAGTTGTCAGTACTCTTTTTTCTTTTTGACATGTGTGACAAGATGGAATACTTTTAAACCTGATTGAAAAGTCAGTGTTGGCCATATGCAGTGGCTCACACCTGTAATACCAACACTTTTGGAGGTCGAGGCAGGTGGATAACCTGAGGCCAGGAGTTCAGGAACAGCTTGGCCAACATGGTGAAACCCCCTCTCTACTAAAAATACAAAAAAATAGCAGGGTGTGGTGGTGCATGCATGTGTAGTCCCAGCTACTCAGGAGGCTGAGGCAGGACAATTGCTTGAACTTGGGAGGCTGAGGTTGCAG